AAAGAACAGGTGTTGCTTCTGCCTGGCTGACAAAAATACAGAGTACATAAACTGCACACCTAATTGGTCCTCCCTTCTGTATTGATAGGGAAAGTCCTGCAGAACTTAAGGAATGCTCAACCTACACAAAAAAACTTCTAAAACCCACAAAGTATAGAGAATGGTCTAGCTATAGATTTTTTTTTTTAAATGATTCACAGAATGTAACAGTGTGACCCAGAAATCCATCACCCGTGTCCTATAGTGGGCTGATACTGCATAGAAACTTGCAATCAGCCAGCCATTCAGAAATGCAGTAAATAAAGTTAGTATCCATTTCAAGCACCTGTCTGCATCAGCAGACATTCTCTAAATGAGATAACCTTCATCTTCCTGTCAGTTCCAAACAAATCCGTTTCTATCACTTTTTAGTAGTAGTTTCCTACTCAGGAGAGTTACTGAGCATGAGGTAATAAGGAGTCTGTAACCTTACTTTTTTTTTTTTTTTTACCTTGCAACTGTAGATTCTTCTTAGAGCATCACTTACAGTGCAAGTCTAGCCTAAGGCTGAAGCCATGGCTGCACAAGAAAAGCTTTAGCATTACTTGTATTACAACTATGTTTGCTGGAAGGCAACAGTATAATTTCTGCTGAGAAATTTGTAACAGTACCCAACTCATGCATGCAGCTTTGTTATCAGCCTGTAACCCTGCATATAATTTGAGTTCTATGAAGTGATGAGCTTAAACAATAAGCTCACTAAAGCCAAGCATTAGTGCCTGGTTTCCAACGAGCATTACGGAGGGGGAAAAAATTGTGTGTTTATCTTTGTAGAAGAGGGGCAACAAAATTAAAATATCTTAATAATACTGGAAAAAACTACTCAAATACTTTGTCTGGCATTTGCCTGTCTCCCTCTCCCCCCGCCCCTCCCCTTAACTCAAAATTTGTTCCCCTCTTGCATTATATGAATTTCCTATATTTTCACTAATGGTGGTGTTGTTTTGCCAGTACTTTTTGTAGAAATTTAACAGCACTCCAGTGCTTTTCACAACAGTTTAGAAGCAATTAGTTGCACTAAAGCCCAAGAGGCAGAATTGGGAAAGTAGGAGTTTGAGGAGGTGGCACAATTACAACTCTACAGAAGAAATGGAAGGGAGGGAAGGAGAGGGGAACAATATAGAAAAAAACCCAACACATTACATGGAAACCAGATTTCCTTTGTAAAATCTTTGTCTAAGGGCAGTTTGACTTCACTTTAATCTTAGAATAAGAACATGGGAGTAGCACTATTTTCTTTGTAATGAAAGAACAGCTTGCAGGTTGGTTCTACATATAAATGGGATATTTTAAAGTGCATTTCCTAGCTTAGTGCTTGTAGGATGAATATTTTCAGTCTTTTCCTATCTGATTTTGAACCTTTAGATTTTATAGAGCTCAGTGGAATATGCATTTTCATAAAATAACAGAGTGATCCCAATCAGTTCTTTTAATTCTACTGTAAACTAACCATCACAGTGAGCCTGCTTACTTAAACAAATGTACCAGTCTGATCTTTGCTTCTGGGAAAAGTCTGGCTATACATATTTATAACCAATCTCTGTTTGGATGAATTATATTCCACTAGCAAAACTCACACATAAAGGAAGGAATTGTTTGCACTGCACTGGGTTAACAACCTGACTTGAACAATAAAGCATGGTAGGTATTCAGTTCCCAATTCAAAATTATGATGAGATAAATTGATTAGCTCTGTTTTTGATGTAGTATTTCAGTTTGATAACATATGCCTTTAACTTTATCTTGGGTATGAATCTGCTGTCTATTTATCCACGCATTTTAGTGAACTAAAGCTCTGTGCAAAATAACAAATCTGAAAAAGAGTTTCTCTTGTTTTTTTAGAAAAAAATAGTTTTTCATGATTTGGAACATGTCTACAATACTATATGTAGTAGTTCACAAATTATAACCAAGATGTTCAATGACAGAGCCCTTCAAAGTCCATCTAGCAAAACCTCCATTTGAACCAAAGCATTTCCAATAGTGAAGGTATTCTGGGAAGTTTTATGGAGGACACTGAGTCAAAATAGAAATTTCATACACAAGCTGAAGTCACTATACATCAGCAGCTATAAAAGAGAGGCAGTATATGTCACAGTACATAGAAAATTCTGCCCCTTGAAAAAAACCATTAGACAGGTTGCTAACTACTTTTCTAACTTTCTCTTAAGAGTTTTGGTAAAGAAGAACTATGACAGAGGACAATATATCTGGCATTTCTTTTCTTGACTGTGTGTGTTTCAATCCTATGAATTTAAGAGAAAGCAGCTTCTGCTTCAATATAAAATAAGATTCCACTTGGATTCCAGATGCTGACAGTGTGATCAGTCATTTCTTGAGCTAGATAGGATGATTTTAAGGGTTGACTAGATCCTGCCTACAAGCTCAAACAAACACGGGCTTCTTTGGGAACTGCCAGTTTCTACATAAAATCAAAACTCAGGAAGAATGACAGCTGTTCACAAATGTATGTGCATATCTCTATATAGCTCTACGTTGTAGATACATATCTTGGAGGTGTGTAGGTCTACATATCTTGGTGACTGATATATCTATACACCTCAGTCGTTTATTTACCCTGGCGGTCTATACTTCTATATCTTGGTGATCTACATACTTCGGTGATCTCCATATCTATACAGATCTCCAAGATACAGCTGTATCTCGGTGATCTACACCTCGGGACCTATACATCTATGAATTTATAGCTTGGAGATCTATACCTCTGTGATCTCTATATCTATGCATTCTATATAGCTATACCTATGCAACCTATATGCCTTGGCAGCTTACACACCTATAGAGATATAAATGTATAGGCCATGATATATCTTGGCAATCTGTATAATGTATAGGCCATGATATATCTTGGCAATCTGCCTCCCTCAGCAGCCTATACACCAATATCTTGGGGCCTAAATAGCTATATCTTGGTGAGCTATACATCAATATCTTGGTGGTCTATACACCTTGGTGTATAGACCTATGCATCTATACATCTACACCTTAGTGATCTATATACCTTGTCAGCCTATACACCTATACCTCAGGGGCCTATACATCTGTTAATCTCAGCAACCTTTATATCTCTACCTTGGATATTTATATTTATAATTGTTTAAGCTATGATGTAAGACACAGCACCTCTACTATGGATTAATGACTAGATGTAATAACTGATTACTACAGGACAATTTAAAATAGTCAAGCATTAAAACCTATAGTAAATGCCCTGTGCTAAAATGAATGGTGTTATTATACGAAACAAAAGTGAATGACATTTCAAATTACTTTGCTTAGGCAGGTTTTGAGAGGGGTCCACAAGAACAGTCTTACAGAAATAGTTTAGATAGAGATTTTCTGGAGAACTGGAAAAAAAACCAAACAGTTGTCCAACATATTATTAAGACACGTAATTACTTCACAAACATTTCTACATTCTGATTAATTGTAAGTAAAAATGCTATTTTAACTCTAAGGCAAAATAATAGATAACAGAAATGTAGACAATTCTGGGTTTAATTTTTTTTAAAAAATCATCATGTTTATATTAAAACAGATGTCCCTGAATGATCTCATATGCACCTAAAATATCCTGTTTTTTTCTTTTGTTTTGGGGTTGGGGGGGCAGAGGTGGCAGGGGATTGGGGAAAGAGCCTACAGTTTTTTGTTTGTTAGGTTTTTTGTGTTTTTTTTAAAAACAGCCCAGTAGCAAGCAAGGACTCCCCTGAAGGCTTAGGGTCAAGAGAAGTGGCTGCTATGATCCACACCCCCATAATCTTAGAGTACTTTGACAACAATTTCTAATGGTAATGCTTTCAAATGCTGAAGCCACAAGTCCCTGAATAGGAGGTTAAGTGGGTCTTGGTCAACAGGAGATATTCTAAGATGTCAAAGCACTCAAGATCAGACCTTAATCTGCTTCTATGAAGCACTTACATAGCCTTTTAGGTATCTAAAATACAATCCACAATGGCTTGTGGGCATCTAGATTCTTGGCTAACTGGCAGGCCAACATCAACAGGATGGTGGAGGGTGCTCCTGCTACCAAGCCACCTGAATATCTTCACTTCCTAACAATGTAGCTATTCTCTGAAAGGCCATTGCTCACATAGGACCAAGACTATCCTCAACCATCCTTCTGAAGCTCCCCTGCTGAGCAGTCAAGCATTTAAGTGTCATGGGGACAGAAGAAGACCATGCAAGAGTTGTAAGAGTATGACTGTGACCCAAGTAGGAGAGCACTGCGTTGAGTTCTGGGCTCTCAAAGGTGTTTCTGCATTTTGCCTTAATTAGTCATTGGATAAAGAGCAGAAACAGCCTAGGCAACTGTCCTAACCTGACTCCTCTTCCATCACTGAAAAGCTTCCTTGAGTAAACTGGATCCTTATATAACATAGCTACTTAAGAGTTTCCAGTTAAAAAAAAAAAAAAGTAAAGAACTGACATTTCCTGGATGGTTGAAAATTGGTAGACTTTCCACTGTTGTAACAGGAGAGTTATCTAAGCAAGTTGGATTAAAATTAAGTTCTGGAGGTTCCCCAGGGTGCTCATTGAAAGAAATAGAGATCTCTGCATCTCCTTGGGTAGATTAGGATTTCACTCCTAAAGCAAGTTGCATAATTTTTGCACTAAATATGGTAAAGTCTTATAGGTGGAATAGGATTTGGGCCTCTGCATTTGAAGCAATCCAAGAGAGTAGGCCAGGACCACGGTTTGAGAAACAAATGCCTAAGGAGTAGATTCAGAAACAGTATAATTAAAAAAATTGTTCTAGGGGCTCCATTAGTCATATCAGAGGTATAAATAACCAAGCCAGGAAAAACTGCTTTAGGTGTTAAAGTGAAAATCTTTTGTTGGTGACTTAGCAACTAGGGATTTGGTATATTTAAAAATGATTCTTCTAGAAAGAGACAAAGTATCCTTGTATTCACAGTCCTTATGGGTGAGAAAATACTCACTTCTCTGCCTTGCAACCGTTCCTCTTAGAAGATGCTGAAGGAATCAGACTCTTATTTTTCTGGACCCATCCTCTGAGGCACTGTCACTAATGAAAGGGAGTGTCACTAATGAAAAAGAAAGGCTATAGGCAAAATAGACATTTTCTCCAGGCATTTATAAACTGATAAAGAAGTCACAGTAACCAGCAGGTGGCAAATTACCTTGTACAGAAAGGAATCAAGAAAAATGTGATCTTTACTCTTATGAAAGCATCCTGCTGGAAACAGTGGCCTCTACATTATTTTTTTAACCTTTATATCAAATTTAAGAGATCTCTCTCCAAAACAGAAGTCCATACTAAAAAAAACCCTTAGTAAAATACTATTTTTTTCTATTAAATCCTTTAGTGTTTTTTGGACTATTTTAATAGAATCCTGTTATTTCTATAGAATCCTATTGGTTTAATTGCTATAGAACTTTCTCGGACTTTTCTCCAGGGGCTGTCTCCATATTCCCTGATTCTCCATATCTCCATGATTTATCAGATATCATAACTATGATATCTGATAAATCAACTTGCTGTGTATTATAATAACAAACATACCCCATGAAGAGACAAAAAACAAAATATAAGTAAAGATATAATCATATATTTAAATAAGTACTTGCAGTCATATTCTTAGCATTATACTGTCTTTTCTAGCTAATTTTATGCTTCATAAACCAGCTGACAGTTTCCATGGCTAGTTCATGAATATGCCCTGAGCCCCATGCCCATGTCCATAAAAATTAACTATGATTTTCAGGAAAAAAAAATCATGTGAGGCAGAAACGATAGCATCGATGCAGATTGATGAAGAATCTAATCGGATCTAAAACACTTTGGCTCTCTCTGTAATATTTAGAATTATACTAGCAATGCTGATAAAGAAAAAAACTGCCCCGTGTGACCAACTTTTTGCTGCTATCAAGATACTTCCCACCTCAACATGCGATTTAGTTCCTATCCCTTAAGTGTCCTCCAAGAAACTTGAACTGAACTCACCCCAAGCACCTAAGAAAAAAGGTTAGCTTATCGGAGGTCTGCAAAAAGCAAATTAAGAATGGACCAAGCGGAGCTGTAAATTCCAGTGGTCCTCACATTTGCTAGCAGCTCCTTTTACTTTAGTTTGAAAGCCTCTTCTGATCTGTGGAAGTAGTTCTTGTGGACGGAGGAAGTCTCTCAGGTTTCAAAGTGGTGAACCATTTACGACTTTGCATAAAGGCTGAAACAAACATCTTAAAACTCTATCCAGAAGTAGTAAATGTTATGATCTTCTGGCTGGTGTGCTCAGAGTCAAACTCCACTTAACAAACAGGCAGACATGTTTTGCACCAACTGAAGCTTCTGCATGGCTGCACAGTCTGGTCCCAAGGGACACCATGGTTGAAGACTGTCACCTTGATGTTCTAGATTTGACTAAAATGGCCTCACACACAAATGCAAATGGGAAAATATGAGCTGCTCAACTATACCAGTGTCTGAGCAAGCACTAAGAAATGAAGAACAAGTAGAAATCCTGAAGGAGAACTTTGTCTCCTTTGGCCCCATTGTTGGTGACCATGACAATTGCATAATATGAGTCAAGCTGCAGAAATAAGCACATGTAGTGCTATTAAACATGACTTTTATCCTGTCTGAGCCACAAACCATTAGCATTCATAACAAATTCCATCCCCTCATAGAAATGGTCTTTTGTTCTACTGTTTCAGTAAGATCAGATGAGTTTGGGGTCATTGTGTCTATTGGAGACGTGGCAACTTTTGGCTCCTCAGAATTTTGCCGACAGTCTCATACATGCTTCAAAACAGGAAAGGAAACAAGATAGAATCTTACTGTATTCCACATACGAGAAGCTTAGTCTAGAAAAGTAATTTCTCTCAAGATCAACATCAGCTCTCTTCCATCTAAAAAGAAACAAAGCTAGATACATTGTTACTATTATATCCACTTCACTCCTAGGGCACCTATACACGTGCCAGATGTCTTTTCCATATGCTAATTAGTATGCGCTGGAGCAGACTTGATTAATCTCCCAGGGTCAAAACCCCCCCGCACTGCAAAGTACCAGTGTGGGAAACATCTACATGTGCAGGGCCACAGGCGAGTCTGTGGCACCACATCCTGCATATCTGCGGTCATCTGGACACGCCCTCCAAGTCCTGATTTTGTGGTACATTCCCAGATACAGACCACTTGTCTAGTACCTGCTTTGTCAAGAGGTGGGACCCTACCGTCAGGCTTCCCTTGGCACCAAAGCCAATGCTTCCCCCTACCAAGGTTCCCTAACAGTTTAAGCATGGCCACTCCAGAGCTTCATTCTTGTGAAGTTTGATTTACTGTTTAACTCTCTGTGGATCTTTTGACAAGTAAGAAGAGACAGACTTCAAAGTAACATGTAAGCTGGTCATGTCAGGTTTGACCTAGAAACCACTATACAAAGCCCAAGCAAAAGTTTCTGTTATGTAACTAATGCCCATCTGCAATGATAAGGAGGAGACAGTCTTAGATAAAGGAGGCTTGAAAACAAAAGCAGAATCAGAGGACTAGGGCAAAGAGCTAATTTAAATATTAAAAATCACACCCCTAGGTGGGGAGAAAGTATGCTAATGAAACATACATGTATGGAAATGAGATACATAGCTAAAACACAGGTATAGAGACATGCTCAGTAAAGAACTCCTTGCGTCACTCCCTTATAACCAATTAGCAAACAAGGATGCTTATGAAGGTCCAATACTCCTGTATAAAAGATGCTTAGAATTAAGAATCTGTGTGCTTGTTACGTGAAATTATTCCGCTTGCACCTTGTATTGCTAGCAATAAATCTTCTTTATACTTTCACCCCTGGTATCTTTATTGGCTTTTGCATACCGGGCACGATCCCAGACTTGAGCTGGGGCTCAACAGTCATAGTTTATTTCTACACAAAGCACATTCAGTGGCCTAGTGCTCCTGCTCAGTCTTATGAATGCCAGGCAAGAGAAGCCTATGATCTTCCCAAGATCCATACCTTAAACAGAATTCTGGTTTCCTCTGTTAAGTGATCTTTTAACACATTAAAATCCCATCTGGTCATCACTTACTTGTTTCTAAACCCTCATGGAAAAAAAAAAGTTTGCTTAGACCAGGGCTTCCCAACTGGCAGCCCACATGTGACCTGTCAGGGGTTAAGTTGCAGCCCTCAGGCTCTTGGACTCCCACCTCTCTTCTGCATTACTCTGGCTACAACAACATCTAGAGGCTCCAGGCTGTCTCTCCCTCTTCCACCTTCTGCCCCCAGTACAGCAGCAGTACAATGTTGGGAGCCAAGGATGAGCTTTGGGCTGTGCAGGCATGCATTGCCTACCGGGGGGCGGGGAGAGGGTCATGTATGTGGGCAAATAGTTCAGCGATTAGTGGCAAGGATTCCATGCAAATGCGCACTGCAGCACCTGAGCCATGGGCAACCTGGGGCCCCATGGCTCACCCTGGTATGGCCTCCACTGGTGTGAATCACGAGGCATTCCACTCCTGGCCAGTCTTGCCTTAAAAACTGGAGAGTCTTACCTTAGACTGAAGCCACCCTGTTGCTCTATGGTGGCCTCCATTTGAGGGCCATCAAGACTACTAACTCTTGATGGTTTTCCCCATTATTACCCCTCTACCAGGGTAGCAACACTGCAAAAGTTCCCAGGATCTGACCCAAGGAAACATCAATCTCTCTAAAAACTATTACAAAGGCTGGTAAAAAAAAAAAAAAATGCAAAAATGCTATATTTGTCCTTTCAATAATCAGTTCTAAAAATTGCTCATAGTACACAGTTTGCTATGCATTTGTTCAGTTGAAATATGCACATTTATTCCAAGAAGAAACATTTGATACTGTAACCCAAAGGCACTCAAAGCTTCCTATTTTTCATCTCTTGTTGTCCCCACTACCACCTTCATAGCAGTGTTTGATTTTTCCAATACTAGCAAATAGGGTATTGAGAATTACATTAACAGACTTCAAGTAACACATGCAGAGTTACAGCAAAGCTCCACGCTAAGGAGAGAGGTTCTTTCCCCATTGACTACAATGAAATTGAAAACTTCAAAAAGAAAAAAAAAGCAGTGGCTCATCTTTTTTTGCCTTAGGATTATCCTTGTTAAAACAGAAAATGTTTAAACCAGTAATTTACTTCCATCTCCTTTGGATTAACTAGGAGGCATCAACTGATTTAGACAGTGTAAATTAATTTCTATGGTGATTTCATGAAGAGACATGAGAAAGTCAAATAGTAGCAATGGACATCTCACTGAAAACAAAGTAGCATTCAGGGATTCATCTAGGCCTTACAAGGGCTTAACCAAGTTCTGGGTTAGTCAATACTACAAAATAAGATTCCATATATTTATAACAACAAAAGCAGAGTACCTCAGTGTCTAAGCAATGCATACGTTGTCTGAGCTTAGTTGTCCATGTTATCAGATGTTAACTGTAACATGTTAACAGATGTTCATCTTACTGTGCTCTTATATGCCAGGCCACCTGCTTTTACCATAAATTCTGTCCTCTTACCTACCCACTTTGCTCTGGGTATCACTGAAATAGCTAGGGTGGGAAGCTGTGACAGCCAGCCCCGGGGTCAACTTGAGGGGGGAGAGGGCAGACAGCTGAACAATCATGCCTTCAGTGTGGTGACAACCAGAAGTTACCGCTGCACCTCTGTGTGGCAGCTGTCCTGGGCTCCTGGCCACCTTATACTTCTGTTGGGTATATTTAAAGGTATGTAGCCTTGCAAAACAAAAAAAACTGGTAAGCACAAGGGACCACTATCATATGCCAAGAAATGGGATAAATTCTCCCATCGCAAGAGTCTTCAAAAATAATTGCACTGAATTCGACATGCCAAATTCTTTCCATCATAGGCTCAATATCTAATGAAGATGTTTCCCTTAGAATTCAGTGTCAGATAACAGATCATGTGCCTTGTACACAAAAGCTAACACATGGTACCTTATCCTTCTTTCTTCAATGAGTGAGATACTTCAGGTTAAGAATGCACACACAGGTAGTTA